AAAATGATCTAATTGTGAGATTTCCAACAATGGACTCTTTTTTTTTTTTTCTTTTCCCTTTAGGTGATCTTTATTTTTTATTAATTTTTAAAAATTTATGAGAGCAGAATGCATTATAACTCATATTACACATATACAGCACAATTTTTCATATCTCTGGTTATATACAAAGTATATTCACACCAATTTGTGGCTTCATACATGTACTATAATAATGATGAGCATCACATTCCACCATCATTTCTTTTTTTTTTTTTTTATTGGTTGTTCAAAACATTACAAAGCTCTTGACATATCATATTTCACACTTTGAATCAAGTGGATTATGAACTCCCATTTTTACCCCGTATACAGATTGCAGAATCACATCGGTTACACATCCACGTTTTTACACAATGCCATACTAGTAACTGTTGAATCCTGCTACCTTTCCTATCCTCTACTATCCCCCCTCCCCTCCCCTCCCATCTTCTCTCTCTACCCAATCTGCTGTAATTCAATTCTCTCCCTTTTTTTTCCCTTTCCCCTCACATCCTCTTATATGTAATTTTGTATAACAATGAGGGTCTCCTTCCATTTCCATGCAATTTCCCTTCTCTCTCCCTTTTCCTCCCACCTCTTGTCCCTGTTTAATGTTAATCTTTTCCTCATGCTCTTCCTCTCTGCTCTGTTCTTAGTTGCTCTCCTTATATCAAAGAAGACATTTGACATTAGTTTTTTAGGGATTGGCTAGCTTTACTTAGCATAATCTGCTCTAATGCCATCCATTTCCAGGCAAATGCCATGATTTTGTCATTTTTTAGTGCTGCGTAATACTCCATTGCGTATAAATGCCACATTTTTTTTAACCATTCATCTATTGAAGGGCATCTAGGTTGGTTCCACAGTCTAGCTATTGTGAATTGTGCTGTTATGTTATGAACATCGATGTGGCAGTATCCCTATAGTACGTTCTTTTAAGGTGTTCAGGGAATAGTCCGAGAAGGGCAATAGCTGGGTCAAATGGTGGTTCCATTCCCAGCTTTCCCAGGAATCTCCATACTGCTTTCCAAATTGGCCGCACCAATTTGCAGTCCCACCAGCAATGTACAAGTGTACCCTTTTCCCCACATCCTCGCCAGCACTTGTTGTTGTTTGACTTCATAATGGCTGCCAATCTTACTGGAGTGAGATGGTATCTTAGGGTGGTTTTGATTTGCATTTCTCTGACTGCTAGAGATGGTGAGCATTTTTTCATGTACTTGTTGATTAATTGTATGTCCTCCTCTGAGAATTGTCTGTTCAGGTCCTTGGCCCATTTGTTGATTGGGTTATTTGTTATCTTATTGTTTAATTTTTTGAGTTCTTTGTATATTCTGGATATTAGAGCTCTATCTGAAGTGTGAGGAGTAAAAATTTGTTCCCGGGATGTAGGCTCCCTATTTACCTCTCTTATTGTTTCTCTTGCTGAGAAAAAACTTTTTAGTTTGAGTAAGTCCCATTTGTTGATTCTTGTTATTAACTTGTGCTATGGGTGTCCTATTAAGGAATTTGGAGCCCGAACCCACAATATGTAGATCGGAGCCAACTTTTTCTTCTATCAGACTGCAGAGTCTCTGATTTGATATCAAGCTCTTTGATCCATTTTGAGTTAACTTTTTTGCATGGTGAGAGAAAGGGATTCAGTTTCATTTTGTTGCATATGGATTTCCAGTTTTCCCAGCACCATTTGTTGAAGATGCTATGCTTCCTCCATTGCATGCTTTTAGCCCCTTTATCAAATATAAGAAAGTTATAATTTTGTGAATTGGTCTCTGTGTCCTCTATTCTGTACCATTGGTCCACCCGCCTGTTTTGGTACCAGTACCATGCTGTTTCTGTTACTATTGCTCTGTAGTATAGTTTGGTATCGCTATACCGCCTGATTCACACTTCCTGCTTAGAATTGCTTTTGCTATTCTGGGTCTTTTATTGTTCCATATGAATTTCATGATTGCTTTATCTATTTCTACAAGAAATGCCGTTGGGATTTTGATTGGCATTGCATTAAACCTATAGAGATCTTTGGGTAATATCGCCATTTTGATGATGTTAGTTCTGCCTATCCATGAACAGGGTATATTTTTCCATCTTCTAAGATCTTCTATTTCTCTCTTTAGGTTTCTGTAGTTTTCACTGTATAAATCTTTCACCTCTTTTGTTAGGTTGATTCCCAAGTATTTTATTTTTTTTTTTTTTGAGGATATTGTGAATGGGGTGGTTGTCCTCATTTCCATTTCAGAAGATTTGTCGCTGATATACAGGAATGCCTTTGATTTTATATCCTGCCACTTTGCTGAATTCATTTATTAGCTCTAGTAGTTTCTTTGTAGAACCTTTTGGGTCTGTTATATATAGAATCATATCATCCACAAATAGTGATAATTTAAGTTCTTCTGTTCCTATTTTTATGCCTTTAATTTCTTTTGTCTGTCTAATTGCTCTGGCTAGTATTTCGAGAACTAAATTGAATAGAAGTGGTGAGAGAGGACATCCCTGTCTTGTTCCAGATTTTAGAGGGAATGCCTTCAGTTTTTTTTTCCATTTAGAATGATGCTAGCCTGAGGCTTAGCATATATATAGCTTTTACAATATTGAGGTAAGTTCCTGTTATCCCTAGCTTTTCTAGTATTTTGAACATAAAGGGATGCTGTACTTTGTCGTATGCTTTTTCTGCGTCTATCGAGATGATCATGTGGTTCTTATCGTTGAGTCTATTGATGTGGTGAATAACATTTATTGATTTCCGTATATTGAACCAGCCTTGCATCCCAGGGATGAATCCTGCTTGATCATGGTGCACAATTTTTTTGATATGCTTCTGTATTCGATTCGCCAGGATTTTATTGAGGATTTTTGCATCTAAGTTCATTAGAAATATTGGTCTGTAGTTTTCTTTCTTTGAAGTGTCTTTGTCTAGTTTCGGGATCAGGGTGATGTTGGCCTCATAGAATGAATTTGGAAGAGCTCCTTCTTTTTCTATTTCTTGAAATAACTTTTAAAGTATTGGTATTAATTCTACTTTGAAGGTTTTGTAAAACTCCGCTGTATACCCATCCGGTCCAGGGCTTTTCTTTGTTGGTAGTCTTTTGATGGCTTCTTCTATTTCCTCCTTTGTTATTGGTCTATTTAAATTGTGTGGGTCTTCCTGACTCAATCTGGGCAAAACATATGAAATTTATCGATATCTTCACTATCTTCTATTTTATTGGAATATAGGGTTTCAAAATAATTTCTAATTATCTTCTGTATTTCTGTAGTGTCCGTTGTGATATTGCCTTTTTCATCCTGTATGTTAGTAATTTGAGTTCTCTCTCTTCTTCTCTTCGTTAGCATGGCTAAGGGTCTGTCGATCTTATTTATTTTTTCAAAGACCCAACTTTTATTTTTATCAATTTTTTCAATGGTTTTTTTTTTGTTGTTGTTGCAATTTCATTGATTTCAACTCTGATTTTAAGTATTTCTTGCCTTTTACTACATTTGCTGTTGTTTTGCTCTTCCTTTTCTAGGGTTTTGAGATGAAGTGTGAGCTCATTTATTTGTTGGTTTTTTCTTTTTTTGAGGAATGATCTCCAGGCAATGAATATCCCTCTTAAAACTGCTTTCATTGTGTCCCATAGATTCTGATATGTTGTGTCTGTATTTTCATTTTATCTCTAAGAATTTTTTGATTTCCTCCTTTATGTCTTCTGTAACCCATTGATCATTCAGTAATATATTGTTCATTTTCCAGGTGATGCAGGATTTTTCCTTCCTTCTTTTATCATTGATTTCCAGTTTCATTCCATTATGATCAGATTAGATACATGGTATTATCTCCACACCTTTATATTTACTAAGGGTTGTTCTATGGCATAATATATGGTCTATCTTTGAGAAGGATCCATGTGCTGCTGAGAAGAACGTGTATCCACTTGATGATGGTTGATATAGTCTATATATGTCGTTAAGTCTAGGTTATGGATTGTGTTATTGAGTTCTATAGTTTCTTTATTCAACTTCTGTCTGGAGGATCTGTCCAATTCCACCATCATTTCTAACCCCCTGCCTCCTCCCTTCCCCTCTTATCCCTCTGCCCCATCTAGAGTTCGTCTATTCCTCCCATGCTCCCTCTCCCTACCCCACTATGAATCAGCCTCCTTATATCAGAGAAAACATTCGGCATTTGGTTTCAATGGACTCTTACCAGGCCCAAAAACAACTGATATAATGAAATGGATAAATTGATGATGAATAAAATAAACACAACAGAGTTCAAAGTATTCTTGAACTTTATGTAAGTTCAAGAAAAGGCAAAATAAATGATGGTGCTAGGATGGTAATCATCTTAGGAGATGAAGTGAAAATGGGTTATGGATCAACTTTCTGGGGTAACTGAAATGTTCTATGTCTTGATTAGGTGGCCATAACATACTACCATATACTCCGGTCAAAATTCATCAAAGCTTCATGCTTAAAATCTGAAAATTTTATTGTAGGTAAACAACACCTCATTTAAAAAAGAAGATACTATTAGCACTCTCACTGAGGAACACTGCTTAGACCTCTGAATTTTTGTTTGCTAAGGAAAAGTCCACATTATGCTGGCTTTATTAAAAAAAAATGTGGATCTCACAAACTTTTATGGTTTGGTACCAAAAAAAGCATTATTTTTTTTTAAAAATTCTGATTATCAATGAAAAGAGAAGATATTAAGAAGAACTAACTTTTATACAGTCATTAAAACGAAACATAAAACAGGAGACAGACAGACACACACACAACGATTGTGCTATTATTCTGCTGCCTAAACACCATATTTTCAATATTCTCTTAAGTACCCTATGTGATAGTTTTTCCCATGGTTATTTATGGGTGCTGTCCAGCTGACTTACTATTTGGCAGTTCAAAAGTTAATTTTTTAACTCATCATTGAGATTATTTTAAGTAGCAAAGTTAAAAAAAAAAAAAAAAAACTTCAGAAAGACAAAGACCACAATTACCTTTATGATCTGAGCCAGAGACACACTTTCCTGCTGAGCAAGTGAAATGCCTCTAACTCTTTCTACATCTGACAGTTGGCGCACTGACTCCTCAATGGCACTCAGATAATTGAGTTCTGCTGTCATACGATGCTGGAGGCCAGCAGGAGAAAAGCGTTTCGAACCTAGAGGGTATAAAAATTGGAAAAGTTCACATGAAATTATACATCAAGATTTCTGAAATTGGGCTGGGGATGTGGCTAAAGCGGTAGCGCGCTTGCCTGGCATGCGCATGGCGCTGGGTTCGATCCTCAGCACCACATGACAAATAAAGATGTTTGTCTGCCAAAAACTAAAGAATAAATATTAAAAAATTCCCTCTCTAAAAAAAAAAGATTTCGGGCTGGGGGTGTGGCTCAAGCGGTAGCGCACTCGCCTGACATGCGCGAGGCGCTGGGTTCGAATCCTCAGCACCACATACAAATAAAATAAAGATGTTGTGTCCACCGAAAACTAAAAAATAAATAAATATTAAAAAAAAAAAAAAAGATTTCTAAAATTTATCTCTCCAATTATAAGAGCCAGAAACAAATAGCTTTCCTTTATAGGACAGATGGTGACTAACTTATACAATGTATTTTAAGCTACTTCTTTTATGTGCATGTGTTTGCACATGTGTATACAGACATACATACACTTATAAACAGTTCAGAATGCACAAATGGGATACATTCTTTAGGTTATGCTGGCAACAGAGGAAAAAACTGTCACTACTGCACTAATCAATCTTTCATGATTTTCAATCTTTTGATTTCTCACATAGCTTTTTAATACCTCAAAGAGAAATCACATTCATGTGAAAAACCATTTTCCGATGGGTCACCCAAAATAAGAAATCTTCAATAAAATATGTAATATCTTATTTTAAAAATTATAACTGCATGGATCCACTTACCTGGTGTTGAAGTCATCTCTGTGGCTGTTCTGCTAGCAGCCAGGTTCACATCAGTAAAAGATGCACTGGGTTTAAATCCTGTTGTACTTGCGGGAATTATCACTGAGGACTTAGATTTTTCTAAGGAAGTCCCAGGAAGGTCGAACTGTAACAATTTCTGGGAACTTGGAGATAGCGGAGAAGTTGGAGTTTTTGGAGTTTTTCCCTTGTCTGATGAGAGACTAGAAATTTTATTTCATAAAGACATAAGGAAAAAAAAAACTACTTTGAGCTAAACATAATAACAACATACATTACTTTCTTTTCCAACATAAGCTTTAACAAGCTATGATTTATTTATTTATTCAACAATCATTACACTGAATCAATGACTATGAACACTCCCCTAACTGCTAGATTTATAATAGTGCAAGTACAATCCCCGAGTACAATCCATGCCCTGAATAAAATGGAAAAGGGGCCTCTTGATTAAACTGGCACTTAATTCCTCTGTAATGTATATTATGATTCATTGTAGTGAAAGTAATGTTTTCTAGAATCAACATTATATAACAATAAAAATATTGTATGTAAATGTATGTAAAGTCATATTAAAAAATTGTCTGAAAATGTGTTTGAAACAAGAACTGAAGGTTATTTGTAATCAACAGGCTAAGCATATATAACATTAAAAAGTAGGAAATAAAAACAAGAGTAGGCAAACTCCATAATCACTATAAAAATAAGTTTTCAAGAATCTGCTTGAAGGGCTAAAGCTATAGCTCAGTTGGTAGAGTGCCTGCCTTGCATGCCCAAGGTCCTGGGTTCGATTTCCAGCACCAAAAAAAAAAAAAAAAAAAATCTGTTTGAGTGAGCTAATAAACTGAATAGGAGAAAAAACGTTTATAGGAAGAACTAATTCCAACAATGAGACCAAAAGGATGCTAAAGAATTGGTTGTGCTGAAAGAGTAGAATACAGTTTGGAAACAAAATCTGTACGGAAAGAAATGAGATTCTTTATGGAAATCCAAAGGAAATACTTAAGTAAAATTAGATTCTTGGGTTGGTTTATGGGACAACTAACCTTTCAAAGCACCCAAGAAAGGAAGATGCTTAGGTCAAAAGACTTCACCAGAAACACAGTGGCAATGGCTTTCAGAACAGAAAGATGAGCTGTGCTTGAGGCACAGACTTCCTGAACAAGAGGTTTTTAACAGTTTAAGTGAGAGATGACCATACCCTAAAATCTAATCTAGAGCTATGAACAAAGTTTTTTCAGAACTACAGAATTTTATAGGAGCTCAGACATGCACAGTTAACTACTAAGGTGAAATTAATCAAATGAAAATTTTGAATATCAATGATATTTTAACTTTATTATAATTGGATTACAGTATAAAGCACACATTACTTTACCTCACAGAATGCCCAGAAAGTTCTTCCAAAGTGCTATCAACGTCAAGAGTTTGCTCATAATCTTTAGCAGAGAGTTTGCTATTGGTCCCAGATTTCTTTCCTTGATGGGAACCACGTTCTGAACTAGACTGTACTTTTTCCTCATCAATAAGTGTGTTTTGAACAGTTCCAGTGAATGAATCCAACCCTGTAAAGTAAATTTCTTATAAAGTTGATACCCAATATGAGTTACCAAAGAGATATAACTGATAGATAGATTTCAATAAAGTAATTAAAAATTACAAGCAGGAATACTTAAAAATTGTCTTATATTTAAAATGTTTTCCTTTATCTAAAATAGAATAACCATCCTTTTGCTTCTATTTAATGAAAGTAAAATGTCTTCCATTAATATATTCTACCTGCTATTAATAAGTTGTTCTTTGCTTATCTAATACTAAAAGATAAGTATATTAAACAAATAACCACAAAGAAGTTTTTTAAGGATAAAATTCAGAGCTGGGAGAAAATCAGTAGCAAGTGCCAAATGAATTACACAATTCCTTTGAAAAACTTCATGGCAAGAACAATGTACACAAAAACTAAAAATAATCTTATTGGGATATATCTTATAGAGACTATTGAAATAACAAAAATCATGCATGATAGTCAATGCTTAACTTTATAACCTTATTTTAACATGTATTTCCAACACAGACTAATAAATCTAATTACATAAATAATAGTAATTTGAGCTATTTAAAATGCACTTCATATATATTACTTTATTGCTGTTAAACATCTCATAAAGTAGGTATTATATACCCAATTTCTAATGAGGTAACTAGAGATCTACAAGTCTTAAAAATAATTGCTTAAGGATGCAAAAGACGTACACCCAGGCTTCCTCATATGAGTTTATGCACTGTTCACTTAAATGGTAATGTTTAAATAGCAGCCTGGGAAAATTTTCTGATTACTTTTTTTTTAAAGCAAAATATAGAATTGTATGTATATTTTAGCAGCAGCTAATTTTTTTTAATGTATATAATTAAAAAATCAAAAGAAAGTACAGAAGTGCGGGGGTAGGGGTAGGCTATACACCAATGTTCACAGCAGCATTATTCCAATAGCCAAAAGATAAAAGCAACACAATTGTCCTTCACTAGGTGAGTGAATAAAGATAAGATACAACCATATAATGGAATATTATTCAGCTTTAAAAAGGAAGGACATTCTGACACAGGCTACCACACAGGTGAAATCTGAAGACATTATGCTAAGTGAAACCAGCCAGTCACAGAAGGACAAATACCATACAATTCCACTTGTATGAGATAGCGAGAACTGGCAAACTCAAGAACAGGAAATAGAAAAGTTGTTACCAGGGGTTGGGGAAAAAGGAGAATGAGAGTTACCATATAACAGATACAGATTTTCAGTTTGGAAAAATAAAAACTTTTTAGAGATGGTTGGTGGTGATGGTTGCACTATAGTGCAGTATGAATGCTCTTAATGACACAGAATAGTACATTTAAAGTTGAATTATTCAAGGGATTACTAATCAATTAGAAAGGACTCTAAAGTCTATAATCTCTAGGCTAGAAGCAAACTATTAATACTGGTTATGTTTAATTTTTCTATAGTAAAGATGTATTGTTTTAATAAAAACATTACTCATTTAATACTACTCTTTGAAAATAAATACAGAATGTAAAAACTGTTACTGATTTTAAACAACCAAAAACTGTATATAATATGATGTTTTAAACAAGAAAGACTTCAATTCCTACTGATGAAAATGCATGAAAAGAAAATGTTTACACTTACATTAAAAGACTGCCAAATGAAAGTACATTTACATGCCAGGCACAGTGATGCACACCTGTAGTCCCAGCAGCTTGGGAGGCTGAGGCAGGAGGATTATGAGTTGAAAACCAGCCTCAGCAACTTAGCAAGGCCCTGAGCAACTTCACAAGACCCTGTCTCTAGATAAAATATTAAAAAGGAAGATGTAGCTTGGTGGTAAAGCAACACTGGGTTCAATCCCCAGCACAAAAAACAAAGAAAGAAAGTACATTTACATAACTCAAAGTTCATTAAAATAAGTTTCTTCTTAGTATTACCACCCAAACCTACCAACCACACTGGGTAAGGATTTTTCGCACAAGCATGCAGATACTCTTTTTCACCACAAAGAGGAGTATTCATAATAAAAATTACAGAGATTTTAGAACTTCAGGGACAAAGGAGAAGCTACATTTAAGATGTTGCAGTGGAAAAGGAGATATATTCAGGTCTTATGGTATTGTGAAAAGGGACTGGGGTTATCTAAAAGCCACAAATCACTGTATTTTATCTGTTATTTTATTTTAGATTATAATTTTTAAAAAATCTACATTGATTCCTCTCACTTATACTCATTTATACTCAACATATCATTTTAAAGATGCATGGCATACTGTCGTAGACAGTAGACAGGATTTGGGAATCAAAAGTCAGAATCTGGGTTTTGCTAATAATGCATTAGTGATCTTAGGTGAGACACTAACAGCAATGCATAACAACTGCAAAATAAAACAATTGAGCAAGGTCAGCATTTCCCAAACCTTTCCAGCTGAATTCTAAAGCTATGCAATAATGAAGGAAGAAAGGACCCTTGTCAAATAAATTTGGAAAATACTTCACAGTATAGCCCCATCCTTATTCTAAAATCAAGAAATACAGACTTTAAACTATACTACAGAGCTACAGTAACAAAAACGACATGGTATTGGTGCCAAAATAGATTTGTGGACCAATAGTACAGAATAGAGGACACAGAGACAACTCACATAGACACAGTTATCTCATACGATAAAAAGGTGCCAAAAACATTCAGTGAAGAAAGACAGCCTATTCATCAAACAGTGCTGGCAAAACTGGAAATCCATATTTAGCAAAATGAAATTAAACCTCTATCTCTCATCCTGCACAAAAATCAACTCAAAGTGGATCAAAGACTCAGGCTCTAAACAGAGACCCTGCCACTAACAGAAGAAAAAGCAAGCCCAATCTTTACCTTGTCGGCCTAGGATCTAACTTCCTTAACAAGATCCCTGAAGCACAAGAAATAAAATCAAGAATCAATAAATGGGATGGATTTAAATTAAAAAAGCTTCTCCTCAGCAAAGGAAATAATCAATAATGTGAGAAAAGAGCCTACAGATTGGGAGAAAATCTTTATCACATGCCACTCCAATAAAGCATTAATCTCTAGGATATATAAAGAACTCAAAAAACTTAACACCAAAAAAACAAATAACCCAATAAATGGGCTAAGGAAGGACTCAAACAGAAAAGACACTTCAAAGAAGAAATACAATCGATCAACAAATATATGAAAAAGTGTTCAACGTCTTTAGCAATAAGAGAAATCAAAACTACACAAAGATTTCATCTCACGCCAGTCGGAATGGCAATCATCAAGAATACAGGCAATAATAAATGTTTTGCAAGGATATGGGGGGAAAGGTATATTCATACATTGCTGGTGGGACTGCAAATTTTGGTACAACCACTATGGAAAGCAGTATGGAGATTCCTCAGAAAACTTGGAATGGAACCACCCTGATATCCCACTCCTCGGTTTATATGAAAGGACATTAAATCAGCATACTACAGTAATACAGCCACATCAATGTTTATAGCAGCTCAATTCACAATAGCTGAACAACGGAACCAAACTAGGTGTCCTTCAACAGATGAATGGACAAAGAAAATGTGGTATATATATTCAATGGACTATTACTCAGCTTTAAAGAAGAATGAACATATGGCATTTGCCAGTAAATGGAGTTGAAGAATATCATGCTAAGCAAAATACACTAATCCCAAAAAACCAAAGGCCGAATGTTTTCTCTAATATGTGAGTGCTAAATCCCAATATGGGGTGTGGGGGGGGCATTAGAGAAGAATAGAGTTACCTTAGATTAGGTAGAGGAAAGTAAAGGGAGGTAAGGTGAGGAGAGTGGAGATAAGAACAGTAGTAGAACAAAACAGACATTATATGTATGTATATATGAGACTGCATGACCAATGTGATTCTACAACATGTACACTCAGAAAAATGAGAAATTATATCCCACCTATGTATGATATATCAAAGTGCATAAGTGTATTCTACTGTCAAGTATAACTAATTAAAACAAATTTAAAAACTAAATTTAAAAAAAAAGAAAAGAAATACTACTCTAAAGGCATTCCCAAATTTATGGAACCATGAAGCTCTTTTACTCTTGGAACATGTATGAAAGACCCTTGTATCTCATGAGAAAATACAGACTTCAGTAAATGCTAGTGAAATAATGTCTAAAGGTCTTACTAAAGACTCTCAGAACAGTTAGAATACCTAAGAGAATTATATCAATGACTAAGAAACAAATTCTTCTACCACTCTCAATGTGGTATAGCAGCTCAATTCTCAAGTTGGAAGTATAAATTGGCTCTAAATTTTTGAGCCAATTCTCAAGTTGGAAGTATAAATTGGCTCTAAATTTTTGAAAAGCTATTTGGCAAAAAACAGCCAAATTTTAAACATGGATATGTTCTTTGCTCCATTATCTGACTTTTGGGATTCTGCCCTATAGAAAATAACTAGACTAATGCATAAAAGTATATTCATAAGGATATCAAAACCAGCAGTTTTTACAATGGAAAAAAACAAAACAACCTAAATATCCAGCAATATTAAGTAAATTAAAATATTCAAATAACAGAACACTAGGTAGTATTAACAAATGATAATCCCTATTTATTAACAGAGAAAGACATCTAAGAATAAAATAAAAATGAGATCCCATGCATGTAAAATTTCCTATTTATGAATGCCCACAAATTTTCTGGAAAGATTCTTATTTAAAATGTTAACATTTCACACCCATGAAGATGTTTATGATCAAAAAGCAGAAAATAACAAGTATTGGCATGAATGTGCAGAAATTTTAACATCTATTAACATTTTATAACCCTTATCAATGATGAAATGTGACACGGTTAAAGGTACTATGAAAAACTGCATGGGTAGTTTCTAAAAAATTAAAAAGAATTTCCATCTGATCCAGCAATTCCACATTTTGGTGTGTGTACACACACACACACACAAAAAAAAAAAAAAAACCTGAAAGCAAGGACTCAAACAGATATCTGTTCAAAGCAATATCATTCACAATAATAAAAAGGGAAAAACCCAAACATCCAAGAACAGATAAATGGATAAACAAAATGGGGTTTATACATATGACAGAATATTAATCAACCTTAAAAAGGAAGAAAATTCTGATATATGCTACAACAAGGATAAACCCTGAACACATTATGTTAAGTGAAAAAGCTATATAAAAAAGAACAAATATTGTATAATTCCACTTATATTAAGTACCACACATATACTGTCACAGAGACAGAAAATAGAACAGTGCTTGCCAAAGGTTGTGGAAGGAGGAAGAGAGAGAGATTGTTTAACGGACAATATGAGAAGATGAAAAATTCTAAAGATAGTGGTAGTTGCAGGACTGAATGTGTATTATATGTCTCTGAACTGAGCACTGAAACAGTTAAAATGATAAATTTTATATATGTTTTGCTACAATAAAATAAAATGTTAACATTATTTATCTCTAGGTGCAGAGATTACTGATGATTTTTTATTTTCAAATATAGTTTTCCATATTGACTGGTTTCTTCCTCGTATGCCTACCCTCCTCAGTTTTAACTCAATAAATTATCTTTGCAATTACAAAATGTTCTAGAAGCAAAACCATTCCCTCACTTGAGGCCATCCTGTGAGTTTAAGGCTTTTGCATAATCCAGCATCTCATCATTGGTAGTCCTACAGAACAAATTAGTCAACAGTAGAACTGAGGGCACTGAAGGGTATCTCCATCACTTCAAAATGTTTACTGAAAAAGGGAAGGGAAGGCGGGGAGTGGGGTAATGAGAGGAGGGAATGGAGAAATTATATTCCATGCTTTTATAATTAATGATAAAATGAATCCTAACATTATGTATAGCTAAAAAAATCTAAAAATGCCAGGGGGCTAGCTACTGTGCTCAGTACTGGAACACACACATTAACTCTGATACTTTCATGAGAGCTTCAGGAGGCCATGAAATATCTATTAAAATTTTATAGATAAGGGAATGTGAAAGAAATGTGAAGATTATGTTTAATGATACTCAGATATGAACGTGATATACCATTAAAAAACATGATGATACTATTAAAAGCAGTTGCAAAGCAGTAGTATCTGCATTCATTTTTTAAATAAAGATGTATGGGTGTGGTTTTATGTATATATTAGAAAAATAGGCACCAAAATGTTTAATGGTAATTGTCTCTGAACTGAATGATCAGGGAGAATTTGTACTTCTTGAATGAGTGATCATGTATTCCTTTATTATTAAGATAAAGGGGCTGGGGGTATAGCTCAGTGGTAGTGTGCTTGCCTAGCATGAATGAGGTGTTGGGTTCGATCCTTAGCACCACACAAAAACAAATAAAATAAAGGTATTGTGTCCATCCAAACACACACACACAAAAAAAAAAAAAAAAAATTAAAAAGAGAAAAAGATGTTTACTGTTATAGATCAAAAGGCATTACTTTACGTATTAAGCTACTACCTTATCATAAATTCCTCCAACTTCTTATGAAATCAAATCATAATGTAGGTCACTACCAAAAATTCATATACAATCCCCATGTAGAATTCCACTTACATTCCATCTTTTCTTTTTTTCCTTTCTTTCCTTTAGAAGAAGTAGATGAACGAGATGATGCAACAGACTGGGCTCCAGATGAATGCTGGGAAGTAACTTCAACAGAGGAAAGATCATAGGCAGACTTTCTGCTACGATGGTCCTCCTGAGTGCCTATATTGCTGCCACCAATACTGTCAAAGAAAAAGTAATAGAAAAAATATGAGATCTGAGGGAGGCCACAAATTCTTCTTCAAAGCAGCTCTAAGACTATTGAATAGACACCTATGGGGAAAGCTCACCCTCTTTTTTTTTTTTTTTTATATTTTTTTAGTTGTAGATGGACACAGTACCTTTATTTTGTTTACTTTTATGTGGTGCTGGGGATAGAACCCAGGCCTCACGCATGCTAGGAGAGCGCTCTACCACTGAGCCACAACCCTGGCCCAAGCTCACCCTCTTAAGTTAAAAAAACGTATGAACAAGAAAGTTATTTTGAAATTAAATAGTGGCAGACATATCCAAGGAATATTGTGAGAATTTGATCCTTTTATCAATCTTGTGATAAATGAATGTGCAGAAATGGAAACTAGTGAGCAACACAACAATACTGGAATTTTTTTGTAATACAAGAAAATAGGATCATCCTGTTAGAAGCCTGGAAATAAGTATTATAAAAATGGCTGTTAAGCAGAGAAATCCATGTCCACTCTCCAAAAGAAGTATTTTATTATGATGTAAAAATAAGGTTATGTACTGTTTGTTAAGAAAACTTTTTATAATCATCAAAAAAAATGAAAAAGAAAAGAAAAACTGAAGATATTCAAAACTCTACTTAATCACTAGAATTGAACTACAATAAAAAATGGCTTCCACTTCACTTTTTTTTTTCATTATTATCCTAAGCCAGATTGCTCCCCATGATTCAATCTGAGAAAAACCTGAGATGAGTTTACTGAAGTCAAAACGTACAATTTTATAAGTCATAACTACTTGCCCTCTGATAATATAAGAGAATAATTTAATGTGTTCTATTTTAACCTGGAAATAAAATACATCAAATCATGTCAATTGGTAACATTAAATGTCACAGTCCTTTAAAAGTTTTTATTTAAAAAATTAATCTTTTGGGGCTGGGATTGTAGCTCAGTGGTAGAGCGCTTGCCTAGCACGGGCGGGACTCAGGTTCGATCCTCAGCACCACGTAAAAATAAAGGCATTGTGTTGTGTCCATCTACACCTAAAGAAAGTAAATAAATATTTTTTTAAAAAATTAATCTTTTATTTATTTATTTATTTTTACTCATTGATAGACCTTTAATTTACATGATAACAAAATTAAGGAGAAAATTCTTTCCAGCAAAGTCTCTATTCACATACAGTTATTTAACCTCTGTACTTCAGATTCCTCTCTAAAATAGGGAAACTAACAATAATACTTACTATATCAGGCTATTATAAAAATGAGTTAACAAAGTTAATGTCCTCAATTCTCCCAGTATCTTGGGCATTAAGAGCTCGATAATTAACAGATATTATAATCAGTTCAAACTTTTCCAAAGCTTTACAAAATTTTATATATTATCCCAGGTTTTAAAAAAAATTACTCTTACATACGGATCATGAAGTATCTATATGATGTCCCTCAATTCTACCATAGAAAACCATTTCTTAAGCTTCTTCTATTAGTATACCACAATACAGTTTCTCAGTACTATCCTCTACTGAGATTTGATGACCTAAACATGGTTTACTATACATCAGGCCCTGTTTTAATACTTTGAATTTCACTGAATCCTCGTAACAACTCTGTGAGGCAGGCAGGTACTATTATTTTCTATTTTAACAAGAAGGAATTTGAGAAATAGAAATATTAAGTAATATGATCAAATAAATACAAGCAATTAATAATCCAGAGAGTCAAGATTTAAACCTAGGCAGTCTGAATACAGATATAGAGTACACAAAATTACACTATACTACATAGATTCTGTATTTATCTTTCAAAAAGCAAAATTTGACCAATATTCAGATCAAAGTTCTCATTTGTATATTTTTTTCACCCTTCAGACTTTATTTGATATTGTCATACTTAGGCTCAAGAGATGATTTTTTTTCTGTCAAAGTCCCACTCCCTGGAGAGGAAACAAAATCATCTTCATAAGAAACACTGCTTAGAGGGGTTGTAGTGACATTCAAAGGCCGCGATGCTGATGTTCCTCTATCTAATCTGTCTTCAAACCCTGTCAAAAGTAATAATTGATGCATAAAAATCAAAATTTAAAAATTCTAAGCAAAGTATTTCATGACATAGAGATTAATAATATGGATTTAGGGACAGTTTAGTTTGCTTTTACTAAAGCTTCTTTTCCATTTAATTTTTTTTTACCTAATAATTACATTTTTATTAAGAAAATTTTCAAACATACATAATAAATTAGCATAATGGAACCAGTGTTTGGGAGTGCAAATATATAGCCAGATTACTATTCAAAATCTGACTACTATTAAAATTCATTTTGATAAACAGTAATAAAGTTGTTTTCATCTCAGAAATGTTACCACATTGCCCCTCTGAACTCTTGACCACTATATTCCAAGGATTCACAAGTTACTATATATAGAAAACATTTTTATTCAAGTATGTAAATATGACCACAGAAAACCAAGTATATACTTGAATATATGCCAAGTCTCTACCATCATCTATGAATTTCTCTAAACTAGATCCACAAATTCCACAAATATCAGATATTGTTTTATGACAATTAAAAAACAGAATATTAAATATTCTAGTGTATTAAATATTAAGTATTCTAGTTTAAATATTAAATATTCTAGTTGAAGTTTGCAGATAATTTAACAGACAATAAGATGGATTATAAATCTCCATTATCCTTGTAATAAACAATGTAATAATGTAATAAACAATGAAGAATGTGTACTTAAGTATATTATCTTGTATAAAAATTATGAAATAATTTAAAAAACACAAAGATGGTACAAGTCCTTCATATTTTTCTCACCTTTTCCATATAACTGATATGATTTGGTAAAAATATTAATGACACTATGTGGACTTCCCTTTGCTAATTCTTCCCATGGTCCTTTGCTTTGTGTACTACCTATGTGTCCCAAAAGTGGCAAGAATTTCTCAGCTTCCTTCTGAAACTCTTTGATGGGTTCATAAGTATTTCTTTCTCCAGCACAAAATTCCTTTTCTTTTAAGATTTCTGCCACCTTTAAAAGGGGCCGTCCATCCCGGACTCCCTCCTCTTCAGAAAAACTACCCTCACTAAGAAGAGGCCCTTCACTGACTGAGTCTGTGCTGGAACAAAGAGACATTTTGGCTTTTTCTTGAGAACAGGTTTGCAGATCAGAGATAGGAGAGTCAGTCTGCCTCTTACACAATTGTGCCAGCAGCCCTCCTGGTTTGGGATCAGCGGATCTTATTCTGAAGCTTGATATGGCACTCTGAGGTCGTATCATCTCAGGAAGCTTTTTAAATTCACTAAGGTTGCCTACACCAGGAAGATCATCATCAAAAGTTGTATGAGATACACAGGTTCCTAGCATCTTTTGAATTCGGGCAGAAAAAACATCTTCGGTATCCTCTTTCACAGGTGGACTTTGAGCCTTTGTCCAAGGTCCATCTTCTTGAGGTGCTTGCTGCACTTCACACTCAGTGTTCCACACTGACCCATAGTTAATGTTGGCCCCAGCCAATTTCTTGGCTTCACTTTCAATCCTGCTAGACAAAGAAGCAGCTGTTGCTTTCAAAGCTTCAATACGATCCAGTTTACTCTTATACTGGCTGGCACTAGGTTTTAACAAGGCATCTGGATGAGCAGCTGGTGAGGTCAGATATGGTTGAGGTGTAAAACTTAATGGTCCTGAAGTCATATTATGATTCTTCCTGGCTGGTAAAATAGACTCAAAATCCTTATGCAAAATTCCTACATGTTCTAGATTTAAGAGATGGGAAAGTAAATTTCCAGCTGTTCCAACAAGAGGTTGTGGTTGGGAATTATGAATCCGTGGGCTCAATCTGTCAGGCTGCATCCATGTAGGTTCTATCAAGTCTCTTCTGGAAATCAGAGTCACAATATGTTAGTTAACACAGCAACTAATAACTAAACTACCTTTTTGTTGTTGTTGCAGTGCTGGGGATCAAACCCATGGCTTCATGTATGCTAAGCAAGCCCTCTGTCATACAGCTACACCCCCAGTCCAAACCACCATTTTAAAAGAAGTTTTGGGTTTTTTTCTGATTATAAGAGTAGGGCATACTGGGGGAAAAAAAAGTAGAAAGTACAAAAAAGTTAAAGATCACTCACAGCTAACTAAACAAAGAGTTACTATAAATAGTTCATTTAGATTTATATCCTTCCAAACATTTTTCTATGTGTATGTTGTGTTTTGGCTGGTATTATTTGCACACACAAAAAATGAAATTTCACCATCCATACTGTTTTGCAATCTTAGTTGTATTTTTCAACTAAGATACCACTTTTTAAAAATTATTTATTAAAGAGAAGGCATTAAAATCTTGAAAATGAATTTCTTTACATCCCTGGCTCTATCTTATCCTTTGAAAATGTTATACAAAAGAGAAATGCTTAAGAGTGCTAAATATTAATGTAGACATTATATAGATTATTCCAATCAATAAACATTTACTAAAAGCTGACTACTGATGTTTAACATTGTGCTTACAAAAAAAAATGAGATGATTACAACCAACTTCTAAAAAATTAATGAACATCAAGGAACTAAATGAAAAACTGTGAGTTCCAATAATAAATATACAATATAGGGTCAGGTGTCCATAAAGTCCAGAAACAGAAGAAAGATATCCTAACCAACATAATATGCATCCACCTATGTTTCCAGGCTATACACGCTCCCTGTATATTAAGGGAAACTACAGAGAAATTAAAGATGAATGTCAACTGTTAAGAAGATTTTGTTTAAGAGTCTTGTAGTTTACTTTTGAATGATGATAATAAGACATACTTATCAAATTTGCAGAAGACAGAAAACCTGGAAGCATGGCCTCCTCAACAAATGATCAAACTACTATTCAAAGTTATTTGTAAAGGCTGCAAATTTAGACTAAACTAATATGGAGAAATGTACACTTCCACAGTTGGACTAAAAAACATCTGGAAGAGGGTAACCAAGGTAATATCAACCAAGGTGATAAAGGAAATGGAAATCATGTCAAGCAGGTTCTGGTGGGAAGTTACAGCAGTTTTGCATACTCAAGGGCTGTCAATAAGAACTGAATGAAGGAATATTATAGCACAGATTTTATGCTATCATATATAAAGTATTATAAATGCAAAATGTGAAGTTATTAGTGTCTAAGCTAAGCTGCTAACAACAGGAATACAAAGGCGGCTATAATACAAAAGACATCAATGAATAAAAATCCAAGAGTTTAAAATTAAAATTTTTATTCATTGATGTCTTTTGCATTATAACCGCCTTTGTATTCCTGTTGTTAGCAACTTAGCTTAGACACTAATAACTTAGCTTAGACACTAATAATTTCACTAATGCCAGTTTTATGGTGATATACTGATTGTGGAGGAAAAAAGGAAAACAAAAATGAATATATTTAATCCAGTTAAGAATTAATCCTGGCTGGAGAGGTGGCTGCGTTGGTGGAGTGCTGGCCTAGAATGCACAAAGTTCTGGGTTCAATCCTAAGCACCACATATAATAAATAATGAAATAAATATCTAAAATAATAATAATAATAATTAATCCTTATTCTGGGATCTCAAGACATAACATGGATGACAGACTAATAAATGAACAGCTAAAATTACAGATGTCATAAGTACTAAGATAAAGACAAAGTTCAGTAAGATAAAGATAAGGGAGCAAGTAGTTCTGCTAGACAAGGAAAGTAACTTTTGAACTGGTTCTTCCAGGTGTTCAATCTCAGGTATATAACCTGGTAGAAGCAAATTAGCAAACAAAAATGATGGAACATAAAGAGCAATGAAAATAAATGACATAATTTTAAGTATATAATAAATTCACTTTAACCATGAAGATAAATTTAAGCAATTAATAGGAATGAAGAATCTCAGAAATGGATAGTGAAGAAGTGGAGGCAATAGGTTAAGACACTATAGGTTGAAGAAGTCTGGTATTAAAAGAAAAAAGAAACAAGAGGCAAATTTATAAACATGTATTGAAACAACACAGAGTACCTCATAAATATGTACAATAGACTTAACCTGTTTAGAATTAGAGAATGAAACTTAGAAAAAGGCAAAAATTGAAGATATGTATATCTGAAAACTGAAGAGCATCACCACCCAATTGTATTTACATTTTAAAAAATGTTTAAACCTTCAACAAATCATCTCAATCATTTCACTTATTAGGAGGCAGTATGGAGAGTAGTTAAAAGCACAGGCTTCTGGAGTCAGATTGCCTAGGTTCAAATCTATCCCCACCACTACTGTTTTAACAACTTGGAGAAAGTTAATTCAACTATAGTAGCCTCAATTACCTCTTCTGTAAAATAGGAACAACAGTGCCTAACACAAGGAATTATAAGGATTAAATAGTATACCAAAGTACTTAGATCACTGCCTAAAAGCTAAGAAACAATGTTAGCTATTTTATCAGTATTATTCTTCTCTAGGGTGAGGGGAAAGACGACCATGTACTAACCCCAAATTGGAAAGTGATTTGATTTCTATTTTGCAATGTTAAAGAATTTCAAAAATCTTTCTCTTCCCAAAATAGATCTCATTACTAAGTATAATTTATATCCATGTAATCTTTCACCGTGATTTATCCAGCAGATTTTTATTATTTGTTTGGTTCAGAGAAGAGAAGAGTGCTTCCAACTGCAGGAAGAATCGACATTAATACTGGATTGAAGAACAGGCAAAATTTGAATAACTAAGAATAGGGCATAAAGTAAGTACAGCTATACAGCATGCTTAGAAGATATTATTAGAAATAAACCTATCTATGGGGCTGGGGTTGTGGCTTAGCAGTAGAGCACTCGCTTAGTATGTGTGAGGCCCTCGGTTTGATCCTCAGCACAACATATAAATAAATAAACATATTGTGTCCAACTACAGATAAAAAATAAAAGAAAGAAAGAAATCTCTCTATGTTCTCTTCCTCATAAAGGTCAGTCAGCAAAGTTCATTGATCACAGACCACCTACACTAAACTCCATAAAATGAAATTTTATCCTCCTCTTTTTACCTTGCAAGGGGCTGTGGGGGTTCTGATAGAGACATGTCACTACTGGAAGATGCACTTGGGGGACGTTCCTGTACTTTATTTTCTTTGTCAGATTCTCCAGATGGCTGATACCCTGGTCTGACCTAGAAAAAAAAAAAACGATATCACATTTATCTGACTTCTGACTTCTATCACAAGGAATTATTCAGAGAGCTCATAAGATAAACAGAGTGTTTTTCTTCCTCAAAAATAATTCACATTTAGTTTGCCTTTAAAATAACCATTATAATTAACAACAAAACATTTAAAATCCAACAAGAACACCTAATCCTAGCTGCCTAGTGTTAGGAAGAAGTAATATCCTTTATAAATCTCAGTTTTTTCACCTGATAAATAGAAATAAGGTAGTACCTACCCTTCTCATGGTTGTGAGAATTTACTGAGATTAAGCCTATAAGTAAAGCCTTTCAAAAAGTATGAGATACATAGTACATACTTATTATTCCTTATTTTTAGCACACTAAACTAGAATAGTCTCTAATTTCAGCACAGATTACAAAACTAAGTATGTCCTAACATAATCTATATACTGAGTATTTGTTTGGTACTACAATGAAAACTAGGCAGGAATATAATAGCAAAGACAAAAGGAATCAATGTTGATTGACTGTTGAAATCAATATTGGAAACTCTTAATTCAGCTATTATTTTCTACCATATTTTTCATTACTCTTCATATGGAATAAATTTCATGAAAGGTCATGACTATTTTAAATATTATCTAAGCATATGTCTGAATACTAGTAACGGCGAATAATTTTTGAATAGTACAATATGGCAAATAAGCTTTTCCTAAGCACGACTTACTCCTTTTTGTATTTCTTACTACTATTACCTGAGTTTCCTGTGTAACATGTTGATGAGCTGGCTCTTCCAGCAAGGTCTTTTCTAGTAGCAATTTGGAGTAAGTTTCCTGTAGCCTTCTAGCTGCTGATGGATCAGGAGGCACATTTTTTGCTTTAGTAAAAGCTTCTTTCTGTTTCCGGTAGAGTTCCTGTAATCGTTTATTCTTCTGTTCAGTAGCCTCCTTTTGAGCCTTCTTCTCTTCGTTTTGCTTCCTCTTCCTTTCTTCCTGCTGTTTAACAATGTACTGTCGTACCTCATCAGTGTCATAATGGCGCTTTTTGGAAATAACAGGGGGCTCTTCGTTGGCTGTTATTTTGTCAGGTTTTCTTTTCACTGGGCTATGACTCCGAGGAACCTGGACAGGTGCTGATGCCTTCTGATTCTGTAACTCTCCAGTTTCTGGCCTAGAGGTCTGAGCTGTAGATTCTAGCTGTAAGTCATCAAGAATGCCACGGATTTCAACAGGTAAAAAGTCCTTATTTAAGGCAGTACTTTCCTCCTGTTTATTTTCTGGAAGAGATGGAGCTAACTTCTTTATATTATTTTCAGACCGAGCTCTACTTCTTGAACGTTCTGAGCTTCGTGGAAGAGGTCTATGTGAAGCATCCAACCTGGGATCAGATTCTGCTCTTCCAATATGACCCCCTACAACATATGAACTGTTAGTGATATGTTAAAATTCTATATTCATTCCTAAGATTCATTGCGCTAAGAAGAAAATTAAGGAATTTAACTTTATCTCAAGTTCAAAATATCCTATAATCTTCTAAAGAACATTATAAAAGGTCTGGGGTTGTGGCTCAGTGGCAGAGCACTTGCTTAGTATGTGTGAGACACTGGATTCGATCCTTAGCACTGGATACAAAAATAAGCAAATAAAATAAAGGCATGCTGCCCATCTATAACTAAACACACACACACACACACACACACACACATACACACACAAAATAAAAAAGAAAGAAAAAAAAACATAATAAAACCTTCCCTTTTTAATAGTAAAAGAATTTCAATCTTCAGAAAAACTATACTTCCTTGGGTCTTTTTCTTTTTTAATGCCTTTTTAAAAATTTCTAGAAAAAGAACAGATCTTACAGTTAATGTGAACATTAAACATTACTATTTCTTTCTTACATGCATATTTAATATGATCACTTCTCTGCTTTAAAAAGTTATTTAAAAATCAATAATCCGTGCTGGAGTTGTAGTTTAGTATTAGAGCACTCGCCTATAGGCTCTGGGCTTGATCCCTAGCACACAAAAACAACAAAAATCAATTATATTTTTAGTATAAAGTATCCTAATTAGAACCAAGGAAATTGAAAATATTTTAAGAATCTTTTAAAGAATAATAGTTTCTTACAGCTTTGCGAAGATCATATACCAAATCCAATAATAAAGGCACCAAAAATACTGATTTTATTGAAGATCCTACAAACCGACCCCTTTCATAATTACATGAAATGGGACCATATGTAGATAAGTTTATCAGAGAATTTCTGAAAGTTTAATTTATATTCTTCTTGGTGCAGAAAATATTAAAACTAGCCTCATATATCATATTCACATTTTAGTAATCTCTGTAAAACAAACTTTTATTTTTGAGATGGAGGTTTCACTAGGTTGCCTAAACTAGTCTCAAACTCTCAATCCTCCCACTTCAAGCTCCCAAATAGCTGGTATTACAGTTGTGTGCCATCACACCCAGTTATGGCTTAATTTTAGATTCAGAATTTATTGGCAACATAGATGAAAGCGAAGAGGAAAAAATACAATGTATATTGACTTCTATATACCAAATTATAGCTGTGATGTCATTTCTTACTAAATCCTGCAGAAACTCAATTAAGGCAAATTTTGCTACTGTAAAGGAAATCTGGTTTGTAGGTCTTTATCTTTTATTTATCAAAATTAGCATTATTCATTTCAAATATCATTTAAGATACTTCAAAAAGTGAAAAGTAGGGCTGGGGTTGTGGCTCAGTGGTGGAATGCTCGTCTATCATGCATGAGGTGCTGGGTTCGATCCTCAGCACCACATAAAAATAAAATAAAGATATGGTGTCCATCTAAAACTAAATATTTTTTTTAAGTGAAAAGTAATAGAATTGAGGGCCAAATGTAAAAGATATGGTACTTATATCCAAAATATGCCACCAACTATACAACCCTGAGAAAAATTAATTTTCTTTCAGAGCCAGTTTCCTAAACTATATTTAAAAAACAAGCAATGGTGAGGTACTAAACAACTCAGTGAGACCCTGTCTCTAAATAAAATACAAAAAATAGGGCTGGGGATGCGGCTCAGTGGTCAAGTACCCTGAGTTCAATCCCTAGTATCAAAAAAATAAAAAATAAAAAAACAAACAAAAAACCCAACTTTGTAAATGTTTGTTTATACACATTGGAAAAGACAGGCTGGATTTCATTCTCTTAAGGTCCCTAGAAGTGTGATATGATTTGAATAAAACACTGCTTTGATATTCATGACAGCTAATTGTAATGAATATAACAAACACAGAATTCTTTGTACAGATGGCCAGAACACCTATGAGCAGAGATTATTCAGATAAGCCCAGTAGAACTTTTTGTTTTTTTTCCAGGTGGGAGGCAGGGCACTGGACCACTGAGCCACATCCCCAGCCCTATTTTGTATTTTGTTTAGAGACACAGTCTCACTAAGTTGATTAGCACCTCACAGTTGCTGAGACTGGCTTTGAACCTGCGATCCTCCTGCCTCAGCCTCCGGAACGGCTGAGATTATAGGCATGTGCTAAGAGCCCAGACCCAGTAGAACATTTTTGCTTTGCATTTCATTCACAATTATAAAGTAAAGTCCTACAACATTCTCAAGTACATTAACCTTTTCAAGCCATTTTTAATTATTTTTTCAACAATTTTAATTACAGCCACTCACCAGATTTAGTAGTTTTTTCTCTTCCATTTCTGTCACTGGATGCTGTTCTTGGCTCTTTCTGCTCTATTCTGGGCACAGGTCCCAGAATTTTCTTTACTAATTTTTGTCCATCTCGCCAAGAAGATGTACTTATCACACGACTATTACCTAAAATATATAGGTGTATATATAACATTAAATTAAAAACTAAGTGTTAGCTCTAAGTAGTATACCTATGCAACCATGCAGGTTTTATAATTAATCTTGTTTATCTTCTGTTCAGGCCCAAAGTTTTACAAAATAACTGTGTTTTTAACTCTAAGCCACCAAAATTGGTTAACAATTTGTCCATCTTTGAAAGGGATGGCATTTCTAGGTCTTTCACATTATATTTTATAGGTGTATACCATTAATACACACCATTATTTTCTTAACAACAACACTCTCAATACAAATATCAACACTTTAAACTGCCCTCATTATAACGGCTCACAAAAATAAGAGTATATTTCAACAAATACAGCTGTTTACTAGGATGAAAACAATTTCTACTAGTTTCAGAAAATTAAAAATAGACTATCATCCCAAAATAGACAATATCCTTAATAGCAACAAATGACTTGAGACTGTTTATAAAATAGAAACTATAAAAAATAAACATGAAATAAATATGTGTTATGTAGAATAATATGAGAAACGGAATAATGAAAATGATGAAATAGCACTTTAAAACTAATCAAATTACAAAGAAGGGCTGAGAATTGTGGCTAAGCGGTAGAGCGTTCGCCTCCCATATGCGAGACCCTGGGTTCGATCCTCAGCACCACATAAAAAAATAAATAAGTGAAATAAAGGTATTGTGTCCAACTACAACTAAAAATTAAATATTTTTTTTAATTACAAAGAAAATTTTTATATTAATAGCCTACACTTCTAGGCATAGTGGCACAAGCCTATAATCCCAGTTGCTCAGGAGACTAGGGCATGAGGCTCCCAAGTTCAAAGCCAGCCTCAGCAACTTAGCAAGGCCCTAAACAACTTAGGGCCTGCTGCACCCTGTCTCAAAATAAAAAAAAATAAAAGGCTGACATAGCTCAGTGGTTAAGCAACCCTGGGATTCAATCCCTGGTATCAAAAAAAAAAAAGTCAAAGACATTCATTTAGGTTTTCATTTAAAAAGGATTTTAATTTAAAAGTTTAATTGGAAGTATAGTCTTAAGGAAAACATCAATCACAAAAAGGTGAATAATGTGTGCTATTTACTTGAGAAATGTTTTCTACTCTGATATTAATTTTATATACTCTCTAAAATATTTAAACAGTTTTAAGTCTACTGCTCAATCTATTTTTAAGGAACTTTGTAATTTTAAGAAAAATGAGAAAACAGACTTCTTCTCAATTTCAGTTTGAATTTCTGAATCAAAGGCAAACAAACATGAATACACTGTGTAGTTATTTATAAACGCTGGTTTCTGAATATGCTGGGTGGTTATCTATAAATTCTGGCTTTCTGAAACAGTCTCATTCAGTAAGTGGAAGAAAAAGACTTTCATTGGCAAACTACTAATATAGCTTTAGCATATTTAATGATTCTGTGTCTAAGTCATGCTACAGTGTATACATGGGAATTAGCCTACAACAAAAGTGGAAAAATAAACTCCAGATTAGTGCTGCAAGTTATAATGTTCCTGGTCCTTCATTTCATTTCAAACTAAACCCCTAACAACAGTATTGATAATATTACATGAAAAGTTTTTTTTAATTTTAAGAATTAGTTAACACCGAGATCATTCACATTCTTGTAAAATTTCATTGTATTTGCATAAAACCAGTGTCATATGAAATTAATAAATGTTGTAAATTTATTTAGCATAGCATTAATTTATTTGCCATTATATTGATTAGTCTATGATCAGAAAATCAGTCTGATCATGGGGCTGGGAACTCAGTGGTAGAGTATCTGCCTTGCACGTGTGAGGTACTAGATTCGATCCTCAGCACCACATAAAAATAAATAAATAAAGATATTGTACCAACTACAACTTTAAAAAAAAAAAACAGTCTTATCAAAAAGCAGTGCCCCAGGCTGGGGCTGAGGCTATGGCTCAGTGGTAGCTCATTTGCCTGGCATGTGTGAGGCACTGGGTTCGATCCTCAGCACTACATACAAATAAATAAAGGCCTATTGACAACTAAAAAAAATCTTAAAAAAAAAAAAAAAAAAAAGTGTCCCATCTTTCTGATACTGTGTCCATAAAACTTGTTATTTTTTAGCATAGCATTAATTTATACTTCCTTGAAACTACATACCTCCTCCATGAAGGTTGAAACTATGTGCATCTAGTGTACCACTGTGTTACCTAAGCTTAGCACAGTGCTTCACAAAGAATAAGTGCTGGGGGCTGGGGTTGTGGCTCAGCGGTAGAGCGCTCGGTAGAGCGCTCGCCTGGCATGCACAGGGCCCTGGGTTCAATCCTCAGCACCACATAAACATAAAAATAAATGAATGGAATAAAAGTAAAAAAAAAGAACAAGTGCTCAAAAACATTTGAATAATGAATTAATGGATCAATTCAGAATGTCTCCAAACTGAAAGTGACCACACAGACAGACACACACACACACACACACACACACACACACACACACACAAAGATGATACAAAGTACTGAATTTTTCTATATGCCAACTCTGAGAATATTTGGTAACAAGTATTTATAGCATATAGATTCAAGATCAGTAATATATAACCTCAGGATGGATACAATACTGAAAGACTAACCTGTTTTGCATTCTGGACTTGATAACTGTGTTACCTTTTGAACTTTTCGTACTGGCTTGACCCCTTTCTTCTCTTTACTTTTGTCAGCAGGTTTCTCTTTTATAGAGATATCATCTGAAATGTAGAAAAATGTACAGCAATTATTATGATTCCCACCCACCTTTTCATCCTCCCAGTAAGAAAATTCATTACAGCAGTTGCCCCTTATCTGTGGTTTCACTTTCTGCAGTTTCAGTTACCCAAGGTTAAATACAATCCAAAAATATCAAATGGAAACTTAGGGAAACAAACAATTCAAAAGACTTAAATTGTACAACATTCTAAGTAACATCATGAACTCTCTTGCTATCTAGTCCAGAGCAGTTTATCCCTTTGCCGGCATATTCACACTGTATATGCTACCTGCCTACCCCTTAGTCAACCCCAGTAGCTCCTCTTGGTTATCAGACTGACTCTCACTCTTTTGATATCATAGAGCTTCTGTTCAATTTACAAACCTTATTTTACTTAATAGACCCAATACCCAAGAGTAGTGAGCCACCATGCCTACGAAAAGCTATAAAGTACAGTGAAATTTGTTAACTTAATAAAGAAAAAATTATATGCTAAGGTGGCTAAGATCTACAATAAATTGTTGTTAATCTCTTACTGGACCTAACTAATAAATTAAACTTTATCAGTGGTATGTATAGGGGGAAAAAGTATAAGTAAGATTCAGTACTATCTTCAGTGCTAGGCATCCTCTGGGGTTCTTGGCATGTATCCCCAGCAGATAAGGTAGCGTGGGGCGGGATACAATATAAAGCATATGATTCAGGTAGCAAAAAAGAAATCTTCACTGAGGCTATTTCTGAGATGCACAAGCCATCAATATCAACTTTTCTTACAGAAAGATCTAAAGACTACCACTACTCCACTGTTAGGTTCTAATTCTTTATTATTTTTTTTCTTCTCCAGAAACCTCATTTTCACAAATGGAAAAAAAAAAAAGTTACAATAGTAATACATTAAAAGTCAAGGTCACCACATGTGCAGAATTTCAGAGGTGAACACTTTCACAAATTCCTATTTAAAAATGTAGAAACATAAAAAGTTTACAAAACAGTCAATATAAAATATATATATATATATATATATATATATATGTGTGTGTGTGTGTGTGTGTGTGTGTGTGTATATAATTTTTTTTGCAGTAATGGTCTTCAACCCAGGGGGGCTCTATCACTGAACTACATCCCTAGCTGTTTTTATTTGTTATTTTGAGACATTGGCAACTTAACAGGGTCTTGTTAAGTTGCCAATGTTGGCCTTGAACTTGTGATTTTCTTGCTTTATAGTCATGGGATTATAGATGTGTACCACTACAACCCACTCAATATAATGTTCTTAAAGCAGATCCTTTCACAATTATGTAAGTGAAAACTGTCAGGGTATTTTGTATATAAATTATTCATTAATTCTTTAGTGTTGTTTTCAATCTGGGGGCTGACTATGCATAGAAATTTTTTAAATTAACTTCAATTACAGATATGAATAAATGGAATTTAAAGTATATGGACAGCCTTGCATCATGGGCAGGAAAAAAAATAAGTATGGGTAAAAAGCTCTTAGGCAGGAGGTAAACCTAGTGTCTAAGAACAAGCAAGGAGGCCAGTGTAATTGAAATGAAAAAAATAAAATAAAATATAAAAGAGAGGGGAGGGGGCAGAGAATAGTATGGTCAGAGACATAACTGAGAGCCAGATCAGACAGGGTTTTATAAGTCACTATAAGAATGTCTGCTTTGCTCAAAAGTGGGGAAATTTTTTGAAAGATTTTGAATAAAGGAGAGACATGATTTAAATTAAAACTTGACAAGCTTACTCTAGCAGTTGGGATGAGAACAGATTCATTAGAAGAGAGAAATAAAGAGACCAGTTGGAAGACTACTGTAGTAATCCAGGCAAGAGACCAAGAAACTGATGGTTGCTTGATCTAAGTGGTAGCGACTGAGGAGTGTATGTATGTGTGTTTTATAAATGTTTTACATATATTACACACACACACACACACACACACATTTATTTTGGATAATATAAAGTGAAAGAAATAAGAAGGGGATCAAGGAAGACTCAAGATTTAGGATCTGAACTCTTAGAAGAACAGTATTAATAGATGTGAAATGACTGCCAGAGTAGCAAGTTTAACTCCACTGAGTTAGTTAATAAGCTCTATTTTGGATATATTAAGCTTGGGAAACTTTTTTTATACATCCAAGAGAACATGTGGAGTTACCAGCTGAATAAGAGCTTGAGTTAAGAGGGGGGATTTGGGCTAGAGACATAAATCTAGGAATCATTAGCAATAAAGAATAAATATTCAAGACTAGCTAAGCTTGCCTAATAGGTATGTGTAGATAAATATGAATGAGAGCATGCACGAAGGAGGGAGGAAGAAAAGCATGAGTACCAAGGACTGAGGCTAAGGCATGCCAATGTTTACTGGCATGATCAGCGAGTTGATTAGGAAAAAAACAACTGGAAAAGGAGCAGTAAGACTTAGGAATAAAACCAGGTACTTATGAAACCCCAGATATCAAGTGAATATCAAGGAAGAAGTGATCAATCATGTTGAATGCTAAGAGCTCAAGATGACAGATGAATATTAAATACTGCATTTAACAATGTGATAGTCACTGATGATCTTAAGAACAGTAGCCCACAGAGAAATAATGGCAAATACCTAAAACAAAAGATTAAGAAAAGGAGGAGACAAATTGGTACAATGAGTACAAGGCAACTTTTTGCAGTTCTACTGTTAATAGAAGGAAGAAACAGGACAGTGACTGAAGCAAAAAAAAAAAAAGAGTTCTTTTATGATGGAATGACCTGGAAGAAAGGGAAAGCTGATGATAAAAAGGAAAAAAAAATAGGGTGGAATTTTTTGTGGGGGCAGGGGGGGGTACTGGGGACTGAACTCTAGAGTGGTTACCACTGAGCCACATCCCCAGTCCTCCTTATTTTTTGAGACAGTCTCACCAAGTTGCTATGGGCCTCATTAAGTTATTGAGGCTGGCATTCAACCTGTGATCCTCCTGTCTCACCCTCAGTCATTGGGATTTCATCAGGTATGTGCCAGCACACATGGCTGGAAGTAATAATCACATATATAAAGAACAAATGCAATCTAAAATACAGGTAGATAGGTTGTTCTTAGCTAGCAACACAGAAATCACCCACCTACCATAATGAGAGAGAAGTATTATAGGCAGATCTTTTAAGAGTCTTGACATATTCCACTTGTCTATAATGATACTGTACTATTAAATATATTGTTATTGTTCCTTTTTATAGATGAGAAAACCAACGAAGAAAGGTTATGTAACATAGTTGGCAGAAATAGCTAGTAAGTGGCACAATCAGGATTTGAACTCTTATAAGCTGATTCCAAAATCTTCGCTCATCTCTCCACACGAGAAATTTGTTTTCTGAATGTAGTGCTCTAATTAATAAAAGCAAGAAAACTGGACTGGTCACTCAATGCCACAAAATTTATTAGTGAAATCTCTACGAGGGCTTACTAGAAACTCCTCAGGATTTAGAATCAGACAAAGTTGGTTTTGAATCTTGGTTTCAATTCTTTATGCAACCCTGGGAAAATTACTCTGAGCTTCCACTTCCTCAACTGTAAAAAATACACAAGATTAAGCACTTAGTATCTTGCCAGTCATACTAGGTATTCAACAAGTAGCAACATTACTACTATAACCTTCCTATTTCCCTCTTCCAGGCTTCCACAGGTGTCTCCTATTTCTAATTCTCTAACATTACTCTCTCCCTATAATACTTATTTTCTTTCCACATCTGACTGCCAAATTACTGACCACTTCAACAATCTGACCACTTCAAAGATGTCAGAAGGGTACCAGAAGTAAATGTCAACTAGACTCTCCTATGCTTCCTCCACATCAGGTGGTCTGAATTCCCAAAGTCCCCCAGTTTAAAAAACAGCCTATCTCATTAGTCATGTAGGCTAATTTTAACTCACGGCAGAACCTAGAGGCTGAGAGAGTCTTTTAACTCAAACCACTACTACATTAAATATAACACACTTAGAAAAGGGAAAATCTTTAGTTAGGTGACAATTTCATGTTTAAATATTATAAATTAGATGGCATGCATGATAAATACTCAAATCGTAAAAAAGCTCAGCTCTCACCTGCAAAGTGAAGTGCTAAATCACGGTACAGTTCTCTACTCATGTTTTGAAACTCGGCCTCTTGCCATACTTTCCCATCAGGCGTTCGAATCTTGGTCTCTGAAGGGTTGAAACCTAATATATACCAGTAATACAGAATATTCTCATCAAAGTTCATATCAAAATATATTTTGTTGAGCATACTTTTTTGAATGAGATATGTGACATAAAATTCACTCTTTTAAAATGTACATCTCAGAGGTTTTACTATATTTACAAAGTTATACAACCATCTAATTCCAGAGAATTTCATCACCTTGAAAACAAATCCTGTACCTATTAGCAGTCATTTCCCACATGATCTCTTCCATCTCTGGCAACTACCAATCTACTTTCTATCTTTATGGATTTGCCTATTCTGGACATTTCACATGGAATCATACAACACATTATCTCCTGAATTAAGGAAGTCACATTTTCAGGAAAGTATATGACATAAGCATTATTTTGGTATTTTGAGGAAGGTGCTAGGCAATTGCTCTACCACTGAGTTACCCAATCCCCAGTCCATAAGCATTATTTATATGAGAATTTCAGCTGGAGGAGCAGAACAGTTGTTAAGGAATAACAAAAGCTTGCAGTAATGAGCCAATCCCAACAGTGAACACAAGCTGACAGTACAATCGTTTGTGAAACCAAACAGAAAAATGTCCCTAATCCATGCCTTTTTGATAGTTGACTGGTACAAAATTCACTTCTTTTAAATAGTGAGGATGCAAGCTTTTGCCTATCAGAGCACACTTACATTTACGTGTGCCTGCTGCATTAGCATATCCTGGCACAGTTTCTCTGTCCTTGGCATCCTTAATTCCTTATGTCTTATTAGCCATATTAGCCACAGTCTTTCTGTGTCAATAATACAAAAATAGTGATGTTTCACCTGTATTATAGACTTGTGCGTCCATCAGATTTTTCCCAGCAATGACCTGGGCAAATTAGTTAATGAATTTCTATGCTACTTCATGGTCAGCAGATGCTTTATTTACCACTACAAATCCTTAAAACTTTAATGTCTTTTCTTAAACGTCTGCAACCAGCCTCTTGAATATTTATAGTTCCTTCAATTTCAGTTCATTAGGATATATCTTTACTTGTTTCAGGATGGGCATATCATTAAGAGGTCTGTGTTCACGGCGATGTTAACAGATCTATAATTTCAAAATACAATCAAGATATTCATATTTAGCTTGATGTTGTGTTTTCCTATTTTTCCTTAAATTCTGTTCATCACTTTTAGCACAAAACTTCAACTGTTTATTTTTCTGTTTCTTCAGGTCCAGTATGGTGCTCATTCCAACACCACAGTCTACTGTAAGATGTTTCAGGCTCATATTGCTGTCCAGCTTGACTTTCTGAGCTGATAAATCAGAAACACTTCCTCTTCTTTAAATATCTGTTACCCATAAGGTTATCTGCAGGGCTTTTTGACATTTTCAGCAATACCTTTAAATCATAGAATAAACAAAAAGTGAATAGAACTTCTGGGTCTTGGCCCCATGTGGGTCATCAGGAGAACTGCCATTAGTACATCCAGCAAACCATATGCCCTTTTATCCTGTGTGGGGGAATCTGAGCATGCATGATAAAGACATTACAGCTCAAGGGCTGGTAGGGTCTTCTCTCCCTTGGAGTCTTTGAATAAACTGTGTGGTACAACTACATTTTGACTGTAACCTATCACATGAGGTCAGGCGTGAAATTTTCCACATATAGACTAGCACTCTCAAAGTTTTAGATTTTGGAGAACTTTGAATTATTTCCAATTCTTTGTCCACTTTTTCCTACTAATTGAATTTAATAAATAAAATAAAAAATTTACTGTAAACTTACTTGTGTCCATGACATTATACCAGCTCTAGGATAAAATAAGAATGATCAAGATAGGCCCTTTACCTTCTTTGGTGTTTATACCAGAAAGATAAAGATATACCAACAAGAAAGTTGGGCTGGGGCTGGGGCTCAGGGGTAAAGCACTTGGGTTCAACCCTCAGCACCACATAAATAAAGAAAATAAAGGTATTATGTCCATCTACAACTAAAATATAAATAAATAAATAAATATATATATATATATATAAATACAAGAAAGTATCACATAAGCACTGTTTGTGATCACCACTTCAATCTTTTGAAGCAGAATTACAGAATACTTCTCATGATTTTTACATGATTTATTTAAAAAAAAAAATGAAAAATCAAAGTGCAGAATGGAATTAGCATGCTAGAATTGTACAAGAAGAGGAAAAAAATATATACACAAATATACAAAAATTATTTGTGTATGCAAACATTTTAAGACAAGTAACAGAAATGTGGTTGAGGCATTAGAGTGACAAAAGCTACTCAAATTAAACTTTTCATTTTTGTATACCATGTCAATGTAAACCAAGTCAATGTATTATGTGTTAAAATTAATGAAATTAAAATGACATATTAGAATAGAATATTTTAAGGTGCTTCTAATTTACATTGCCAAAATATTGACACAAACAGTTCTTCACTGTTGGGAAGAAAAAAAATCCCTCCATCAGGACATTGGAAACCATATTCTGGTTGTATACAAAGTATATTCACACCAATTCATGTTTCATACGTATACTTTGGATAATAATGATCATCACATTCCACCATCATTTATAACCCCATGGCCTCTCCCTTCCCCTCCAACCCCTCTGCCCTATCTAGAGTTCATCTATTCCTCCCATGCTCCCTCTCCAGATCCCACTATGAATCAGCCCCCTTATATTAGAAAAACATTCAGCATTTGGTTTTTTGGGATTGGCTAAGATCACTAAGCATTATCTTCTCTAACTCCATCCATTTATATGCAAATGTCATGATTTTATTCTCTTTTATTTATAATATTCCATTGTGTATATATGCCACATTTTTTTATCCATTCATCCATTGAAGGGCATCTAAGTTGGTTCCACAGTTTATTGGAACTATGGAATTGTTTTACTATAAACATTGATGTGTCTGTGTCCCTGTAGCATGCTGGGTTTTTGTTTTTGTTGTTGTTTTTTTTTTAAATACATGACAACAGAATGCATTATAATTCTTATAACACATATAGAGCACAATTTTTCATATCTTTGTATTTATAGTATGCTGTTTTTAAGTCCTTTGGGTATAGACCGAAGAGAGGGATTGCTGGGTCAAATGGTGGTTCCAGTCCCAGTTTTCCAAGAAGTCTTCATACTGCTTTCCATATTGGTTGCACCAATCTGCAGTCCCACCAGTGGTGGATGAATATGCCTTTTTCCCCACATCCTCAGCAACACTTATTGTTGTTTGTATGCATAATAGCTGCCATTCTGCCATTCTTTTGATTTGCATTTCTCTAATTGCTAGTGATGATGAATATTTTTTTATATATTTGTTGATTGATTGTATATCATCTTCTGGAAGTGTCTGTTCAGGTTCTTGACCCATTTATTGATTGGGTTGTTTTTCTGGTGCTTAGCTTTTTGAGTTCTTTATATAATCTAGAGATTAGTGCTCTACCTAATGTATGAGGGGTAAAGATTTGCTCCCAAGATGTAGGCTCTCTATTCACCTCACAGATTGTTTCTGTTGCAGAGGAGAAGCTTTTTAGTTTGAGTCCATCCCATTTATTGATTCTTGATTTTAATTCTTGTGCCAAAGGAGTCTTATTAAGGAAGTTGGGGCCTAATCCCACATAATGGAGGTTAGAGCCTACTTTTTCTTCCATTAGACGCAGGGTCTCTGGTTTTATTCCTAAGTCCTTGATCCATTTTAAGTTGAGTTTTGTGCTTGGTGAGAGAGAGGAATTTAATTTCATTTTATTGCATATGGATTTCCAGTTTTTCCAGCACCATTTGTTGAAGAGGCTATCTTTTCTCCAAGGCATATTCTGGCACCTTTGTCTAATATAAGATAATTGTAATTTTGTGGGTTAGTCTCTGCCGACCTCTATTCTGTACCACTGGTCTATCACTCTGTTTTGGTTCCAATACCATGCTGTTTTTGTTACTATTGCTCTGTAGTATAGTTTGAGGTCTAGTATAGTGATGCTACCTGCTTCATTCTTCCTGCTAAGGATTGCTTTAGCTATTCTGGGTCTCTTATTTTTCCAGATGAATTTCACAATTGATTTTTCTATTTCTATGAGGAATGTCATCGGGATTTTGATTGGAATTCCATCAAATCTGTCTAGTGCTTTTGGAAGTATTGTCATTTTGATAATATTAATTCTGCCTATCCAAGAGCAAGGTAGATCTTTCCATTTTCTAAGGTCTTAAAACTTTTTTTAGGATTCTGTAATTTTCATTATATGGATCTTTTACCTCTTTCATTGATTTCCAAGTATTTTATTTTTTTGAGGCTATTGTAAATGGGTGCCTGGTTGCACCCGACTAAAACACTCAGGAACTGGGCTAATTGGGCTGTGTGAAATAACCACACAAGAGACAGAAATACCAATACCTTTGTCATTGGGAGTGCTGTGATGGCTCTTCTGACCTTAAGGGTATGCAGAAAGAGCGCAAGCGTGCTGACCCCTTTTATGGAGGAGAAGCCATTCAAATGAGGTAAGGGGTCAGGTCTCAGAGGGCTGAGTCTAGCTTCATGATGTCTGCTGTGAGCAGGTTGACTGATATCTAGATAGGCCACACCCAAGGGCAGAGAAGAGGACACACAGAGGGTATTTCCATGGAACATTGTATCCCAAACAGGGCAAGGGGTAATATTACAAAAGAAAAGGTGAGCATAGCTCGACCTAAGGAGATATAGAAAGGTACACCCATGCACAAAGACACAGTCGCTTGCACACTAGAAAACCAGGGCTATCAAGATCACAGCGTGACCACCAGATGCCATAGCGGTCAGCAGGGGAGTCAGACACGGTCATGTGCTAGTCAGCTTCCCACAAATGGGGTAGTTTTCCTCATTTCCATTTCTGAGGATTTATCACTGATATACAGAAATGCCTTTGATTTATAGGTGTTGATTTTATAACCTGCTACTTTGCTGAATTCATTTACTAGTTCTAGGAGTTTTCTGGTGGAACTTTTACGGTCTTCCAGGTACAGAATCATATCATCAGCAAATAC